GGTTCTCTTAACAGCATAGTCCTATTAGCAGTAAGGTTCTTTTAGTAGCATGGTCCTGTTAGCAGTGTGGTTCTGTTAGCGATGTGGTCTTGTTAGCAACACGGTCCCGTTACAGCATTATAATAAGGGCCACGGCAAAGGGCGAGGACTGCCCTTCAGAACCGGGTCCGGCAGACACAGAACATCCAAGGTTTCTCCACGGAACCAAACTGTTCCATAGAGTTCGGATCATGGAGACGGTCGCCATGACAGCCTGAGCCCGAGACTGGAAGCGTGCCGGGAACTGAACCACGATGGTACAATGGCAAGGCAGCGAACACAAAACTCCAAAAGTGCGTTGCGTTCATAGCCTACCTGTAGCGTGGGTGTACAGTGTAGGTGCAAAATAAGTTAAAACAAAAACAACAGGAACAAATAAAGAGCGAGTCGAAGCGGAGCTCCCGCCAGTGCGGCCATACTGCGACGCATGGACATCCAGCGTTCTTAGAGTTTCAGAAAAATCCATCATGAGGTTTATGAGATAATTTGCAGCGGACAGACACACACTAACTTGAGCAAAGCCATCATCTTTCAGCTGCAATAATAATCCTTATTTTTTGTTTACTACAGAACAACATATTAAAACTAAAACAGATATTCTGACCAACAGCATTAACGCATCAAAATCTTCTTCTTATAAATGTTTGAGATTTTACACCTCAAATATAAAATCAGTCATCAGGCGCCTCATACAGCAAAAAAATAAAAGGTTCTGGATAAACTGGCAGACTGTTTTTACCTACAAACACCAGTTGCTCCTCTGTAACATGTTAATTACGATCCCATTATGCTAATGTGATGCACTTTTCCCCTCTCTCTTGTGTTTGGCAGGCCAGTTGGCGGTGGGAACCTGTGAGATAGTGATGCTCAATAGAGACAGTAGTGTTCCCAGACGGACAATCGCCAGGCAGACTGCCCGCTGCGCTTGCCGGAGAGGCCAGATCGCCGGCACCACCAGGGCGAGACCAGCCTGTGTAGATGGTGAGTTGAGCAACCTCACTAATCACGGCTAGAACAGATGCTCCAGCTCTTAGCTGGTGTAAGTCAGCGTATCAGGCGAAGTTATTAAAATGTGAGATGTCCAAATGAGAAGAGAATCATTTCCATGTTGTTTACACTGTTTCATTCTCTTTGCCAAAGCATTTGAGCAATAAAAATGAAAAAACAAAACAAATTAAAAAAAAAATCATCAAATGGTCCTTAAGTATGGAAGCCAAAAACAGCCATAGCTGCTGGTATATACGACAAAGCCAGTCCTATTTTATTAAAATAAAGACTATTCTTTAAAAATTATAATTTGAAAAAAAAAAACATGCATTTTTTAAAACAACAATAATGCATGACATTATCAGTGGAGTCATTAACTCCAGCATTTTAATGGCATTGACAGAACAAGAACATCAGGAAAATAATATCAGGTAAAAACATGGCGCAGGTGTAACTATTAGCAATAATGATGTTTCTGTTCCATTACAGCTCAAACTGTAGCCAAGCACTTTGCACAATATAAGTCTTTCCTAACAGAAAGTACTTTCTTTTCCCCCTAATAAATACATTTTATCCCCAAGCAATATGACTGTGCGAGCTCAAGCAAAAGGAAATAACGCAAAATAACAGCTCAACACTTTATGTCAACCAAAATTTATGAGACACAATTTGAGAAACCAGATCAGCTTAATATAAGGTCGATGTTCCAAAACTTATTGCATGGTGCGTCTTCTGCATGAAATTGAAATTGTTTATCAGTAAAGTTTAATATGTGGTGCTTTATCATAAAACATTATGAAATGCTCAACAGTCCTTCAAAACATACAAATCACATGCCACATTTACGGCTTTAAACTAACATCTGTTAGTTTAGAGAAACGACTAAGTTGCAGCCTTTTTGTTCAAAATGTGTTGTGAATGATTGTCCTACCACATTTACTGTAATTTCACTTCAATATCTGTAACACTGACTGACTTATAGCCATTTTTTGAGTTGACTAATGTCAATTAGCTGTGGTAGCCATCTTGGATTGGTTTGACTCCAAAAGTTACTAGGCTTCAGATATGTTGTACATCCATGATTATTTTTCAGAACTTTCATAAACATCTGTCCAGTGGTTCATGATAAAAACAATATTTAAAGTCAAAGTTTTAGGCAAAAATATTGTAGTGCCCTGGGTACGTGTTGCAGATAATGCTCAGCTGGATTGTCAGGATGTGCATCAAAACTGCTGGCATAGCCCTACAGAACCTCACTGACCTACACAAGGTCAGGTCAGTGAACAAGGTCAGGCTGATTCTGGCAGATCCTGATCATCCACTCCATGGTGAGTTCAGGTTGCTTCCATCTGGACTAAGGATGCACGATATTGGATTTTTGGCCGATATCCGATATACCGATATGTTAAAACTTATTTGGCCGATACCAATACCGATGTTTTATATACACTTTCCTTTGTCAGAACATAGGCCTCTTATTTAGGCTTATTTGCTACAAAAATTGCGTAAAAGCTGGTGACATATATTCAGTAACAGCCATTTGATATGCATAGCACTTTAACTTATATTAAATGAAAAGTGTTAAATGTTATTTATTAGCATTAGTCACCTGCGATGCTGTCTCACTTGTGGAGGCTTGTTCCAGGTTCCTATAGCTGCAGTGTGGGATCCTCTGCACTCCTGTGCATGAAGGAGAGACTTTTTAAGTTCAAAGTTTTTGTCTATCCATTGTGCCGTAAGACTAATCACGCTAACGGGACTAACACGACGTCCACATATCTGTGGTAAAACTCACCCAAGTGCTGTCGGCTATTAGTTTCTTAATGACGTCGGAAATGACGGCTTGTAACTTGGGTAAGGCTACATTGGAAAAATATCTCCAACTGGGGATGATGTAGCGAAGCTCAAGGTAGTCCAAAAATCTTCGGAATCCGACATCCTCAACAGAATAGAACCTTCCACACCGCCGACATTTTGAACTTTCCTCTCCGCCGTGAGATCAGGTAGGTGCGCGTGACATCATCACGTTGTGCTGCCGCTGCAGGCATCCTTGTCACTGGGTTGTCATACCAAAACTGCGTCTTTTATATTGATGAGTTATTTTGATGGAATGGTCGATGTCCGATATTGAACTTTAACGTTAATATCGTCCGATACTGATACCACGACGATAATATCGTGCGTCCTTAATCTAGACACAGATATCTGCAGCCCAGATGTAGAACGAACAGACTGAAAAACTCATTCACCACTGTAGCGATCAGGCTTCTCAACAAACAGTGATGATGTTTGTACTGTTATTTTGATGTCTCAATGTCTTATCTTGTATGGATGTTTTGTCTGCCTACTGGATGTGAAACAAAATACTCCCTTGGGGAAAATAAACATTCTTGAACTTGAACAGTTTTAGCTCATTATCTGTAAAATTGGCTAAGTTATAGCCATTTTTGGGGTTGGTTAATGTGTATTAGCTGTGGCAATGACCTGGGCAATGACTCCAAAAACATATTGAACTGTGGAGGTAAATCTTTTTATTGTTTTGTGTGATATTTTGCTAATAGACGGACAGAGTCGACTATTAATAGTTACGTTTTTAAAAACATGTCTCATGTGGTCAGTTAGTGCTCAGAGTATGTGTTGGGACTGAGCTTTAGCTACCACCAAACTAACTTTTAATTGTCTGAGTGGTAGGCCTTTTTTAGTTGTATTTGCTTTATTGGTTTATGAGATATTTAGCTAATGCTCCAGCCAAATAAACACACGCAACAAAATGGCCTAATGGTAATAATTACAGTACATGAAGCCATCAAACTCTATACCTGAACATAAGCACCTGTGTCTGGAGAAATGTTCTCTCCATATGAAAGTCAGGCTAACAAAAACCTCACCCACAAAAAGCTCAGAGAACTAATTGCTTGAGTTTTCTTCTTTTCCCATTAAAAGTAAGTCCTGGTGTAATTTGGTTGTGTAACCAGCCAGTTGATTGTCACTTTGCATGTCTCACTTTCTGGTGCTTTTTGGACTGTTGAACTTCTAACTGTGATTATCACAATTTTTGTATCTTCAAGGTGCATCAGGTTAAAATGTCCCGCTCGTTTCTTCTTGAGTCTTTGTCAAGGCTCATCTGCAACACAGAATGTGCAGCGTTCATCCACTTTGGAGATAAGATTTAACACTTTAGGGCCCTTTTCTGTTATTGAATAGTTTCTGGTTATGGGGATAAGGGAGATGAAAGAATTTAAGGAGGTGGAGGAGTTTGTGTCAGACTGTTTTAAAATAACACACGTCCAATGTGCCATTAGCTGCATCATCCAGTGAATCATGTTAGCCTTAATCAAACAGCCATGACACTCAACCACCATCTCACAGGCCCTCCGTTTCCCACAGTGCCTCCCTCTCTGCAGATGTCCCTCTGTAACACCTTACAGATGCTGATTAATTTGGAGAGAACTATGATTACAGCAGCAGAAAATTAATTATCGCTGGCGCCCTGCTACGCCACGCCCAACAATCCATTACTAGCCGGACCATTAAGGATCTGACGTGTTGCTAACGGGATCACGGTAGAACCGGAGTCCATCACCTCTTGGATTTAAGTAGTTAATTTTACATCCCGTAAAGCAGGAAAAATCAGTGCAAGAATCTCCGCTGACCTTTACTTCAGAGCATATTTAGTATTTTTGACTTCTAATACAAATTCCCATAAATGCCTCTCTTCCCCTCTGAGCATGAACATTATTTACTGCCTTATAAACATGCTTACTCGTGTGTGCGTCTCACTGAGAATATTCCTTTTTGCGTTTTTAAGACAACACAAACTTCATGTGTTCTCGATCAGTTTATTATCGTCCTTTCAGGTCATCAGACGGGTCCACTGACCTTTCTGTGATGTTCTGATGGAACCAGTGACCCCTAATCTCAGCAGAGTGTTAGCGAATGCTAGAAGCGTGTTCTGATACTGTGAGTTTACAGGCAGGGCTAATTTTAGCAGCATACGTCTAGACAGACAACCTGCGCTCGTGTGTATGCTACTTTATTAAATATGCAATTAAATCAGACTGCAATTTTCCAAGCTGTCTTTTTTCAGTTTAAAAGCTGTTTTGATTGGGCTGCAGCTCATAAAAAGTACTGGAAGCAATCCAAAGAATACTTTATTACCACACAAAAAATATCCCAAGCATACCCAGAAATACCCCCAAAACATGCCCCAGAACACATTCTGATATTTAAAAAAGTGTTCATAACAACCCTTAAAAAAAAAAAAAAAAATCAACATTCACATTTTAAATATTTTATCTTGTTTTGATTGTTTTGGACTTTTCTGAGGTGTTCATGTCTCCCTCTGTCAGCTTGGGCAAATATTCTGCTTGGACAGTCATTATTTACAGTGAATTCATATTATTGGGTGTTTTGTGATGGTGATGGCAGCAGAGGATGGAGCTCTAGCTGTAGTATTCATTTAGTTAACCAAAATAGTCCATGCTCAATAATCCAGGTATACAATCTAACAATTTTCAGTCAGGTCATCTGGACAGTTTCTTTTTATTTGTGCTGAAATGTTTCACCTTCCATCCGGAAGGCTTCATCAGTCAAGAAAACACACAACACAAAACTGATTCTTCCCCCAAACAGCTTACTCCAAGGTGGAACAAACCAGTTATATTGGTGCTAAGATGGTCTCTTTGGCACACCCCCTCCTCTGGAGCCGGCCCTCTTCATTCATTCATTCAACCTTTATTTAAACAGATAAATCACATTGAGCCTCGAAGACTCATTTACAAGTGAGACCTGTTTGGATAGACAACAGTGGTTAACTGGACTTCCTTTGTCGACTTCCTCGTCGACAGTCATGTCAAACTGGTTCAGAACCAAAACAGTCTATGCTCAATAATGCGGTTTGTTCCACTTTGGAGTAAGCTGTTTGGGGGAAGAACCAGTTTTGTGTGTTTCCTTGACTGATGAAGCCTTCCGGATGGAAGGTGAAATGTTTCAGC